GTCTCATAATATTGCCCTTATCTGCGGTGAAGCTCAAGTCTCCCAAGCCGACGACACTCTCGCAAGTCTCTGAATCATACATCTGACGACGCGGTTGAGAAACAAACCAGTTCAGCTCCAAACCACGACACTTTGATTCGAGCAGCTGTCGGTTTTGCAGCTCAAGCTGCGCAACATATGCCTGCAAGAAAGTAAGCGTGGGAGCAAAGTGCTCAGAAAGTAGATGGGGGGTGGAAGCGCAGTCTTAATGCTGTATCTGGGGTCAGAATGCGTTCGATGCTGTAAGGCAGAAGCAGAGTACAGATCCAATCCTTGCTTCCAGTGGAAACCTCTCCTCCTCAAAGAAATCTGCAACTAAACAAAGCTACAGTACAACAAACCCGGATACTCCACCCGCTTGCCGGCGCCCTGCACACCAAGGCCCAGCCTGCTGTGTCTCAAGTTCGGCTGTCAGCTGGCTAAGAAGATCCCGCCATCTTTCCTTGCGCCAGCGAAGCGTTTCATGGACTCGGTTGACGCTGCAAGGCTACCGGCACAGCTTCGCTTACATTGTTCTACATCCCCGAGGCTTTGCCAAATGCAGCTGGCCGCAAAAGCCAACCTGCAGACGGGTGTCGCTTTGGCCATCAGCTGAAATCAACGAGCCCTGCTGCTGAAGCATGGCACCGAGAAACAGAAACCACCGCCGCCCGTGCTGGCACTGCTCCCCCAAGTGTGTTTACTGTAGTCACCAAAATCCACAGAATTTGCTTCCTGCCTGGGCCTCACACACCAAGACAATCCCCCTGCTTAATGTTGTATGTTGTTGGTGGTGCTGGGCCCGCCACTATCACGTGCTTCCTTTCGCTGAGTGTGCAGGGTTTGGTATGGGATCAATACGGTCCAGGGCCGATTGCTTGAGCCCTGGCAGCTTGTGCAGAGCAGGGGTGCATTCTGCTACCGTCGAGGAACGCAGATCTTAAGTACACAGACCAGGGGTCACTCCTCTTGCCAGAATAAAACCATAAGTTGGAAGGGTCAAGTTAAGTGAAGAATTAAGAGCTTGCTTCGAAAATTATCCGCATGACGGCTTGCACGCAAGACCAAGCTGCCCACATCTCCACGCCAGTGCATGCCAACCTATCACTCCTACATATACATCATCATACTTGCTGTGCACCCCGCCATGCAGGCCACTGGCATCCCCGAAAAGCTTTCTGTACGAGATGGCGTCAAGAGATTGTCCCGGTCTTTGACGGTCAACGGCCATATTGTCCAACTGCAGCTGCCATGCCACTAACACATGGAGAACAAACCGGCCGGGAAGTAACGGATGTTATCGGTGTACCCGGGCTAGGGATGCATGGTACTTGACTTGGCATTGTGACAAAGTGCTGGATGAAGGGGTTCTCCGGCGATGATTAACCCCAATTCCAGGATGTACTATGTCAGCAGCCACAGAATCAAAAGCCCATGTCAGTTCGGACAGGGCTGTCCAGCTTCAGTTCCTGCTGTGTGCTCTGAGCGCGGGCTTCTTTCTGGAAGTCCCTGCTACTTTACCGTTCAACTCGTGACCACAAACGAGCAAGAAATGCACATGAGGGGTGGCCCTGCCTGATTCCGTAACATTTCGTGGTGCCATTCTGCCTGTAGCGAAAACCACCACCAAAACTGTCCTCATCACATCATTGAACATTGAGCCGCATGAAGCCAGCAGGAGACTGATGCGGATTTCCCCACGCCTTCATGCGATGGGGATTCGCAAAGGGCCCCTGCATAGGGATCCTCACAGGAAACTGGATATGCCGAAATGGGTCGTCCTGCACATGCCGGTTTGCGGAAGCTTGGCTGCAATACGATTGCAGTCACAGCCCTTGGACTCGTCATGATAGCCATGCTTGCTGTTTGTAACTCCTTTCTACTGATGATGATGACGAGAATCATGACGAAGAAGAAGAAGAATAACATTAACAAGATGACGACGACGATGATGATGATGATGATGATGGTTTTGGGGATGGTGGCAGCGACGCTAGATGGTAGAGCGAGGGTGAGTGATCAGTTGCCAATAAGCCTCAGTCGCATCAGAGATATCGAAAAGAATAGGTCTAGGTCTGAAAACCATGCAGCAGCGCCAGGCACGGCCCAAAGAACAAACGGCAAGAGCTGGCGACACGCGGTCAGGCACCTGTCGGTACTCTGGGGAATAGTCTTGGCAGGCTGGATGAGCTCCGAATGCAAAGCCCGCCAGCACTGCCGGTCCAAGCAGAGTGTCTGCACCGAGAATGTCGCAACTGCTTGCTGGCAGCAGAGGCCACATGGTAGCTACTTCCTTCCTCCGGCGAATGTATCTAATGGCTAGTCGTTGGTATTGGAGATCCTCTTGTAGCGCCATCAAATATGGACCAACAAACCGTACGGGCCGCGGCGGGAGTGCAGTTTTGACGGGTTTTGCCGGGCCACTGGGCTGTCAACCGAAAAACTTACGGACCCGACCAATACCAGGATCAAAAGGCTAAAAGACCAACGGATCCAGCCAACCTAGAGAAAACCACCAGAGAACGGTTAAATCAATAACTAAAGCAGAGACAAGCGAACGAAAACTAAACAACCTACAAAGCTGCAAACCTAAAGAATCCCAAAGCACATACACAACTTGGAATTTGACCGCCCACACAGAAGAATTCCATAAATTAGGATGTTTAGGTTGTGTGGTTGCAGTTTATGACTGTAGGGCTGTAGCACAATCAAGGATACATAGACACCAAAAAGCATACACACACATATATATATATATTTATTTATACTTGTTTATCTGTTTTTTATGTGTTTATGTATGTATGTATGTATGTCTGCTTGTATGTATGTATGTATGTATGTATTTATGTATGCATGTACACATTGTATGCATGCCGTTACATTATATATATATATACATCTATATATGTATAACATATGTATGTATACATGTATATTTCAGGATGAACTGTCCATGCACAACACGAGGCCACTAGAACTTAGGGCGCGCCTTTGTGAGCAGACCTTGCTAAAGATGCTCTGCGACATCTGCTTATCAGCACGACACGACCACACGAACCACCACCAAGGGACCATGAACTGGAGACATGACGGAAGACAGCACCCCAAAATTGCTCCCCGAATGTACGAGTCCACACCAAGGACCTCAAGGAGCCTCGTAGCGTAACCCTTGAAGCGCGTCGAGCAAGTTGAATCGATCTCTAAGTGGCGCAACGGCCGAGCCCGAGAGGTCGAATAGTGTGTGGCTCATCTCGGGTCCAGGGCGGCTAAGCCCCTACCCACGCGATCCTCGTGACAGTCGCTGGGATCAGACCTCTTGGCGCCGCGTTCCGCATAGCTTTTATAAGTTTGGGACACGCATTCTGATTTGTGCCTCTCCACCATGGCCATAGTGGCAGGCATGAAGCCATGATCTCCGTTGTTGCGGAGCAGGTGAACTGTAACCACGAACTTGATGAGGAACATCTCGCAGTTTAGTTTACACATAGACCCCACGATGCAAAGCATGCATTACTTATCCTCCCTTAATGGGAATGACCAAGGTTACACTTGCTGTTTGATTCAGTTTCATCAAGCATCAAACCAACTACGTTTGAAAGGCAGCAAGTTTGGACCCACACATGAAACGAATCATGGTAAGGCGAAAGGTCTAGCCCTAGACATGAACCGCACCATGTTACGGACACAGCTTTCGGCCTAAAGCTTCTCAACAAATCATGGCCAGGAGCAAACCTAAACACAAATGAGGAATGACTAGGAAGAAGTACGGCGCCGGACCTTGGACTGACACATCTCATTATAGGAACCGGCTACCAAGCAATATACATGTTACAAGGGAGTGTTAGCAACATGGCTGCGAAGCGAAAAGCTAAGCCTACATATGAAGCGAACTGTGCGGGAAGAGGTGTCTTGAAGTACTCATCGACACATGCTTAAGAACAAGTTATCGTCTGTCTGAGGCAATGTGGCAAAATTGGCCCTGCTCTTGGTACCGAGGTTTTAGCCCCGTGCATTAGACGCAAAATATCATTCATCCAGCGAGAGGGCTCAGTCCGGTCACCCTGGGTTCCAGCTCGACTAGAAAAAGTTGGTTTCGCCCGGCAAGAAGGAAAACAACTTCATTCAGCCTGGGCTACCATTTCCGTTAGTTCAGGTTCACGCCCCGCAGAAACCATGAAAGCAAACAGTAATTGAGGTTGCATCATGTTCCACCCAATATGCGGCTACAGTCTTGAAACATGACGCCAATTTCTGTGCGTGGCATAAGGCACAGAAGTAATGCCTATGTCACATCCCCTGACATGTCCTTGACGGACTGCTGGCCAGCGGAAGGAAGGCGCCGAGTGTCTGCAGATCTCCCGAAAATTTATGCATTTTATAGGTCCAAGCGCCTCTTTACAATGTGTCTCCGTGTACGCGGGCTCTCCTTCGAAACCATACGGCGCGATGGCCTTATCCAAGAAGACTAACTTATTCACTCGAAGCGTGCAAGATGCAGCACAGGTTGATGATACACGAGAAGCTTGTGCCCCCCTTTAACCTTTGAGCGAATCCACGTACATGGAAGGTGAAACATTCGGCCCCTCAGTTTGATGAGAAGAGTCCCTGTTTCTTGGAAGCCGCAGAATCAAGCGAGGACGCTGCTCTTTCTTTGAGGCTGTAGCGCTAGCTTCGCAAGGTTTCGCTGCGCCCCCAGGTTTTTTTTTTGCCAGGTTTAGCGTTTAGGGTATGATAGCAGCTTCGGCCTCATGGTCTGAGTGTGAACGATGGGAACCGTTAGCTGAAGCAGCAGCATGGAACGAGTACGGTAGCACCTACCAGTAGCAGGACGACACAGCTTCAGAACAGAACTTTTCTAGACGTGAACAGCATAGAGCGAACGTCCCTGGCAGCACAGGCAAGATCGTGTTGTCAGCACCTAGCATGACCCAACTCAGGTTGCATCCAAGCCCCGGTTGCCTCCGGTGAAGGTTGGCGGAATGCTAGCACAGCGCGCCTGGCTAAGCCACGTGAAGGAGTTTAAATATAAGGGTACCGAGTGTTCGGCAGTAGGGCTGCCCAATCTCCGAGTTCTAGTGTTAGTTTACTTTGTGCATGTGTCTGGCCCTCGGTGCCTGCAGGTATATAGCACACAGTGGCCACCCGGGCAAGGATTTGACATGTCAACCTTGCTTAATTAATTCTCTTGCAATTGTTTATGTAGCCATGTCTGGCTGAAGGCTTGATCAAGAGGTTCGGTATCCACGACTAGTACAATATTGTGTTTGTCGTGGGCATTTTTCGCACTCTTCGAAGGCTAGTGGCGCACCCTCTCGGAAGCGTCTGCTGGCCTGCCCTTACCTCCGGCATGCCTGGCAATGACTGCGAAGGGCAGCTGACGTCCTCACAGGTGCAGAATTAGGATATCTGCACAAGTCCTGAGAAGGACAGGCTATGCAGGTTGCGACGTTGCGTCCTGCTACTGTACCATATGCTCACGCCGAGGCACAGCGGCAAACTTCGACTGAGCTATTCCGAACCCCACCGCGTTTGCTTGCACTAGGAATGGTCCTGTTGCTCCGGGGGCACTGGAGGCACCTCGATGCTACTGGGAACGTCGCCTTGCTCTTCCATTCCTGAGTTGCTTCCAGGCGCACACGTGGGCGGTTAAGGTCGATTTTAGACTGGCGACGAAGTGTGAAGGCCGCATGCCCTCCGTGCACACTTTGCGGAGTGCATGCTTCACAGGCAGCAGGAACAACATCAGCAGAAAGGGATGATGTCAATCCTGAACCTTTGGCAAGAGGCGGCGTTGCCTCTCTTCTCGCCGCCGCTGTCTTGCGATCCGCTTCGCTTCATAGATCACGCCGCGTCGGACAGCCACACGGATGCAATATCTTCTCACGATCCTTGGCCGGCTTCTGTGGAGGATCAATGCTAGAAGGGTTTGCTTCTGGTGGAAGTTGCATATTGGCGATGTCTTTCTCTGTCTACCTCCATCTCCGTCTGTAGCTTTAACTCTGTCCTTAGCTCAATCTCTAGGGCCTCGGGTGGCGCGGTTGCTTCTACCGTAACTGTGTCATGTTCAGCAGTGGCCGTCTCACGGATGGCCACTGCATCCCTACTCTTGCACGACACTTCCCTGGCTAGTATGTATAGTCAAATCGTTGTGGTACATGGAACAGGTTGTACGTGAAATACATCGGCTGTTTGTGCCATCGGCATCGAATCCCCTCTCCGCCCCTCTCCCCCTGTCTCTCTTGCTTACTTGGGGTATGGGGGCCTAAACCCCTCTCTCTCTCTCTCTCCCTCTCCCTCCCTCCCCCCCTCTCTCTCTCTCTCTCCCTCCCCCTCTCTCTCCCTTTCTTTCGCCAGGGCTATGGCCTGGGGGCGCGCGCTAGTGCGCCCCCGACTGTCGCGCGCGCCAAACGAGGCTCACTGAAAAGTCCCCTGCAACAGCAACTAGATAACAAAGAACACACATAGACGCCGAAATACAGGACGCGAGAATATCAACAACGAATGGTTGATGCCTTGCAGTGAAATTGGAAAAGAGCTTCACCAGCTACAAAGCTTTGCCGCAAATTGTGTAACATGTAACCCCTGCGATAGGCAAGGGGTTGAGGAGAGAGGTAAAGGAAGGCTCCAGCGGCCCGTCAACCTGGATTTGTCAGACTAGGAACAAGAGACGCTTCGAGCGCCTTGCAGGACGAACATGCATCGCGAAGGCGCTTGAGGTGTCTACTCGTATGGAAAATGCCATGCGGCAAGCTTGGACATGGTGCCGGGCTGGAAACTGCTCCCAGAAGACAGCCAACAAGAGACAAGTAGCACTGCCAAGAACCATGTTGCAAATCAATAATCACAGAGGTTTCGCCCCGCATCAAGTCAATGGCAGAAAACTTACATTTGTTCCTCGAGCTGGCTCAAGTTGAGCAAAGCGCAGTTTGAGGTGACCAAACTAAGGAAAGGTACTAAGGTAATGCAACAATGTGAACTTCCCTCACCTTTGGAGGACTGGGGCTGTACTCATCCTCAGCAGTGTCTCTACTCGGCGTTTCCTCTTGTCTCCACGGCGCTGATCTGGCTCCCAGTCCTGCTGTCCTCTTTTGTCCGGCCTGAAATCCCGGTAGCTCGCCTTACTCTCCGTCCAGTGTCCCCGCCAGACAATCTCCTCTGCGTCCCCCGCCTGGTCACAGGAAACCATCCCGGCTTGGTAGAGTTCTTGAAGGCGCCGCTTCTGCCGGGCGGTGCTCTCTCTCTCGCTCTCTCTCTCTATGTCACAGGGACGCAGTCACCGGTCACCCGCTGATCAATACAATTCTCGTGCAAGTTTGTCAGGGTGAATTGTCAGAACTCAAAACAACAAAAAGAGATCGGTCTCCGACTCCGCGATTCTCAGCCCCCGAGCATAAACACCTCACGCAGAGTTGTTTCTCCTGTCCGAGCGACCGCCCAAGCTGGGGGCACGTCAGTCGTCGGCGCTCGATAACCTGTGGCAGCTCAGGTTAAACTGTCGGGCTGTCTAACCCTTGCTCCGAATTGCAGCCTCCCGGGCTGCTCGGGATCCACAGATCCTCCCTAGAAGCTTCGCGATTCGTTCGGCCTGCATGAAGCTCTCCCTGGTGAGAAAGAGAACCTCGCACGATGAGACGAGATGTGCTGCATAATGCCCGTCTGCGTCTATGCGAGCAAAGGCGCCTCAATGTACGTCAATGCAAAGCCACCGACAGGTCTGATGAGGCTTGTGTCAGAGAGGACGAAGTCCTTCGAGTGTAAGGGCTTAAGTAGTGCATGCTAGTTTGTACGCATAAACTGGGGAGAGTCTGCACACGGAGGACAAGCTAGGTGAAGTGTCAGATCGTGACGGAAGGCGCCGCAAACAACCCTCGTGGAAAAGGCCACCTTGAAATTGAACTCACTCCATAGCAGATGCTGGACTCGAGCGAAAAAGATGCAGCGACGAGCCATCAATGCTTGCAGGTTTGTGCTCGGTTCACATGTGACCGCAGATGCTCTACAACAAGCAGAGCGCTTAATCAATGCTCTGCCACGTATTTCGAAAAGGTGGTTCGCCAAACAGGCTCGCTCTGAATAGACAATGAACCGACCTGACGCATAACCTGAAAAAAGGCATCATGCACAACTTGCATATGTAAACAAACTATAACTGCACATGATTTTTGAAGCCACGATAAGGCACGATGCCTCGCCCCAAACTGTGCCATTTGTGCCAACCTGCGACGTAGCTGGGCTGTTGCTGAAAGGACTACATGTGCAGAGCGCAGAGTGCAGTTGGTCACTGTGTCCCGAGGAAGGCGGACCCTCGATGCCTGCCTTGCTGTTCAGAACTACGAGGCCCTTTGAGAGAATATACCTGTGCTGCAGCAAGAACAGGCATAAACACTTTTGCAGGTACCAAGTTATGGGTGCAAACCGAGATGCAAGACCTGGATGTTGTCAAAGCTCTCTCGCTGGGCAAACGCTCCACAACGCAGCTGCCTAAATGCTGAAGGCAACAGTATGGCGTGCACGGTGCTTCAAGCGCTTGGCCTGACCTGCACTGCTCTCTGCTTCTCTTCGTTGCTCTCTTGTGCCCCATACGCATGAATGTATGTGCACCGTCGGCTCTCGGTGCGGCCTGGAGGTGTCGGCAATGCAGACGCGATAAGGGTCTGTGTCGATGCCGCGGCTCTCAGCGATCTCGATCTGTGCCATAAACTGCCTCAGCGACCAGGCTTCGGCCGTTCAGTGGAGGGCCTCAGGGTTGCCGTCTCCGGCTTGGCGGAGGCTTATCTGGGGCAGCTATCTCGATTTCTAGCATAGGCCTGGCCCTGGACCAATAATTGCACTTCGACACCACATCCACGAAGGATCTTTCGTAAATCGTGAGTACACTGAACAACTAACCAACGTCCAACACAGCAGCCTGTCAGCATTTCCTGCAAATCAAGCTGCGAGAAGAATGTCACTTTCTGGATCCAGGGCAGGTTCCTGGTTCGCGGGTATCATGTTCAGTCGCTAGTGTCACAGCTAGCAGCTAACCGCCAGACTGACTTCACTGTGACCTCTCTCCGAGCCAACCGGAGAATTCCTAAGCAAATAGTATACACTGCGTTCCCAAGTGGGCATGCGCGCACCACAGCAGTACATGCGAGTTGCCCGCAGCAACCAAGTCATCTCTTCAGAAGGCGTTGTCAGGAAGGATCTTGCAACCCTATGCTTCGGATCTAAAGGCTTTGTACGGAAAGCCGGTGGGGAAGAGAAACGTGTCCGGAAAGACGCAGATTCGGACAAACAAACACTCAAGCTCAGCTTTTACACTCTTCGATACTCATTACACACAACGCACACACACACACACCTCGGCCCAGAGCCTTACGTTTGGTTGGAGTCTGTGTAGGGCTGAAGCAGCAATTGAACGGCATATGAGCCCATGCAGCCCATTCTGCTACCGAGCATCATCTCCGTGCACACCTCTGATTGGAGCTGTGGGCTCATGTTGTCCAGAAGCTTTTGTCGCACAACCTCGGGCCCGGAAGCATGGGCAACTCGTCAGCCGAGCAGAGAGTACGGTAGTCTGTGGAGACATGAACACTTCAGAAACGACAAACTGGTCTCATCGAGAACCTTTCCACCTTGCCCATTTTGCCCAGTCACATACTGCGCTTGGTGTCGGTTCTGCCTGATTGGTTGCAACTCTGCAGCAAGATTCCTTCTGAACTACTCCGCTGTCCTTCACATGCCCTTGAAGTTGGAAGGCGTGGAATTACCGTATAATCCCTCATCGGCATTTGGAATCACCTTCCATGCCGAACCAGCCAGTCACCTGTTGCACGTGGAAAGCCCCTCTAAGTATCCTTGATCATGTGCAGATCATGTGAGCAACATGGGGATTCAGACTGCTGCGCGTTGCTAAATTCTCAGGGCGAGAAATCGAAGAAAGTGCTGCTGGGTATCTCATGTAAGTTTGCCGAATCCACACTGCACATGCGGAACCCAAACCAGAACAGCTGAAGGCCCTGCCAAAGCCTGCCAGCCTTCCACCAATGCAGCATGGTTGCAGGAAGAAGCTGCGGAGGCGCCGTCGCAGATCATGTGGGAGTCCCTGCTCCTCGCGGGGTTTGGCAACTATCATTTGCAAACCAGCAGCGATTCGCCCGAAGGCTCGTGTGACATACCCAGACGGAGCACTGCATCAGAGACGCCCGAAGACTCGCTTCAGTCCCATAGATCATTACCGAAAGCCACTTAGCACTCTGCGAGTACACTTTCGGAAATTTGGCATGTGATGAGATATATCCTGGGAACGTTTAAGAAACACTTTGTCATACAGAGGCCACAGCGACGAACCATGCTGCACACGACTCAGCTGGATTTGAAATGGCATGGTATCGTGTTGTCTGCACAGGGCAATGGCCTGCATCATCATGTTCAAGCTGTTCCTGGGCAAACGGGGACAATGAACCAAACCCAGGCCTGGGTTGAGGCAAAAGCTATGAATGGAAGAGTGGTTGGTAGGATGGTCGGTCTTGAAACTCTGCCTCCTTATACTGCTCTCAAATACAAGGAGCGTGCACCCATGAACAAATGCATGTGTGCTGCGATATCAACCCTGGCTGGAGGCAGCTCGTTCACAACTGGACGCATCCGGTATCAATGACCACAACATGTAGGTTTTTCTGATTTTATGCTCTTTTCATGCTCATAAACCGGAGCTCGTGCAGGACACAAGCTTGCGCCGTTGGGTGTGCAACAGCTCGACATGTCGCCCCCACATATGACGCGAAGGCACTCACGATCTGTCACCTGAACCTTCAGCCCTGCATCGGCCTCCGACAGACTGCTCCAAAGTTTGCCTGAACTGTACATCAAACAACCTGCTCTGTAAACTTACATCTGCCATGCATCATCTTCTTTCGGAATGCAGACGTCTCGGCATTCCTTGGTGGCTGCATGAGGGCTGAGCTGTAAAGCCGAGCGCATCATCCCTCGCTCGACTCTCGACGGAGAGCAAGCGCACAACCAACACTTCTCGTTCAGAATATTCATAAGAAGAAATTTGACTGATGCAAACATGTCGGAAAGCCGACACGGCCAACCTCACCCGCATGCTGTTAACCCGGGCCCGACGGACCAATGGACAAGCTTCATGTCAGAGGAGATGGCACACACCTCTCCCAATATCTGCGCCCAGCACAGGCCTCTCCAGGTGAGGGTAATGATGTGAGGTCTGCCCAACAGAGAGTTTGCACATGTCGTTTCTGGGATATGCAAAGCACAAATTACGGCTTCTTGCAAGCCTGCGATCACCAAGACTCATTTTCTGCGGCAGCTGCGCCCTTAGGATTTGAAGCTTGAGATCTGGAATCCTCGGAAGATGATTCGGATGGCGCTGGGTTATACCTCGCTCGGAAGCAGCAGCCCGGCCTGCAACGAGGACGATGATGGTACAAACGATGCCTGCAGGCACGGGAAGTCGGGAAACGGGGTGCTGCCAACATCGCCCAACAAGATCAGATTCACACGTCGGTGGCGCTAGGTCCGCTAGGTAATGGCCTAGCAATTCCTGAACTTGCGACGTCCTGGGTCTCCCCAACTCCGGTTCCCCTAGCTCGGGGCCGAGAGTCGCTCGAGGAGGTTTTGAGGACCCAGGTCTCCATAGCCCACCGAGGTCATGGTGTAGCTGCAGAAATAGAAAGACCTGTCGAAGGGTTTGCTGGTTGGGCCTGCACAAGACTGAAGTGATTGTACTGTGAACGTGGCCTTGAGCAAACGCGGAAGGGACACCGAAGTCAGGCCGAGGCACGCAATGTACACTCGTATCGGGCTGGTTTCAATGCCGAAGCGGGCGTCCGATGCCGCGATGCCATCGATCCACTTTGGGATGTCATCGTTGACCTTCGTCTTTCAATGGATGCATGAGAAACCGCCGGGATTTATTCAAAGGAGCTTGGGAGAATGCATGCCTTTGGTAGAAGGAGCATTGCCATCGAATCAGAAAACCAAAAGCGAAGCACTGTCTCGATGTGTCTGCACTATGCTTCTACAGCAAATGCATTCGCTCCACGGTCTTCTTCAAGAACCCGTGGTTGTGCATTCCAGCAATGCTACAGGCTTGCTCCGAGGCCCCCGCTCTCAACTTAGCTACTGCAACCTCAAACTCCACGAACGTACGAAAACGTGAGGGCCTCGAGCTTCCCTAAACTCGAATAAACTCGATTGACCGAATTCTGCTTGCGGGAAGCAGGAAATGCGTGACTTAGGCGCTTCTCGTGTGACTGACCTGGTCCGAGGCACAAGGTGCAAGCACATGGCCCAAAAGCATGATAACCAGTGGCAAACCAAAACCTTGGCCGGCATCAGGTGCAGGCTTAATGGATTGAGTTTTGTTGCGTCTGCCTTTGTGTTTTGTACCGTGTTGTGCTTTTGCTTGCTGCTAACTTGTTGGCCTCCAACACATTCGCGCAGCAACCTCTTCCCGAGAATCTATCATAAGACCCCAAGACCGGGCAAACACAAGGACCTGGGTCAGAAGCGCGAAAGCCTGGGATCCATGCTGCAGCTGCCGGATTGAAACCCAGAGTCTGTAGATCCATAAAATCGTGAGCCGCGGGGCCAAGCCAAACAGAAATCTGATCAGCGCGAAGTGCTGGTAGGGGATGGAGAGTGCAATCTCCAGTTTGTGAAGCCTTCACTTAAGGCCAGGGATCTGCACAACGAGTCCAGACGTGCGGTCGCAATGCACGAAGATCTCTGACGTCCGGGTCACCAGTAAAGCACCAAAGCTCTCAAGTGCCCAGAACTTCAAGGCCAAGCATTTGCCCCCCTAAATTTTCCCCTCACCTTCAGAGCTCTTGTCTTCTAAAGGCGCTGTTTTGCTCTAAGATCTTGCCAAGGAACAGCCTGGATGACTTAAGCATCCTCAGAATGCAATAAAGGAGCTTGAGATCAGATTCTGTATCCTGGGGCTACTGATTGGCACCGCCGTCTTTGGCTGCATGTCGTCGCAAATAGTCTTGTCCAGTTCCAAATGGGCAAGGGTGCAGTACCAACTGAAGACTGCGGGTTGTTGGCTTTGTCTCTCGTTATGCGATATGTGTGTGTGTGTGTGCCGCGCCCCCGGTTGCTTGTCAAACGTCGACTTGCCCTCTTCTGCTTCATGCGGCTTGAGTTCAACCCATACCAGATCTGGTGAAAGCAGAAAGCCCATGGCGTCAGGCCGAGTCACCTCATCAGCTTCAGCAAGCGGAGAGCTCGCACCACTTTGATGCTCTTCAGCTCCTGCTGCCATCGAGCTGGAAGTCAAAGACTCGTGCTATCTGTCCGTCCGTGCGTGCGTGCGTGCAGGCGGGTGGGGGGTGGGTGGGTGGGGGGATGGGTGGTTGGATTGGTGGTGGGTGCGTTAGGGTGAGTGTGGAGTGTGGAGTCTGCATGGGGTGTGGGGTATGGCGTGTCGGGTGGGGGTGGGGTGGGGTGGGGTGGGGTGGGGTGGGGTGGGGTGGGGTGGGGTGGGGGTGGGGTGGGG